ATCAGAATCAAATCAAAGTCATACACACACTTCAAACTTGTAGCTTCACAAACTTACTTTACTCAGAAACTTGTACATTAGATCAGTCGCCGCGGAAGGTGTGGGGACATTAACATTGTAGGATGGGGGGAAGGTACGGGTTTATGTATATAAGATGGGGAGATGATGCGGACATCGAATAAGCATGGGGACATGATCCACACACTTCCGCGGCCACTGGATTAGGTAGAAGGTCGAGTAGTGTAGTGTTTACTGTGCGGGGATTTTATCCATAAGCGGCGTCGCGGGTCGCTTAAGTAAGTGAGTGAGTGAGACCTTGTTGACAGTGGTCGCGGAAGGGAGCGTGTGGACAAGGGGACAATGTTCCCAAGGTTATTCGATGTCCGATCATCTCCCCATCTTATATAAACCCGTCCCTCCCCTATCCTACAATGTTAATGTCCCCAAATGACCCCACGGCTTCTGCGGCCACTGAATTGTCCTACTTCTTTTAGCAAAGTCCTCCGCCCAGTGATCGCGGAAGCGTGGGGATAGAAGGACAATGTCTGCATCATCTCCCCATCTTATATAAACCCTGCCCTTCCCCCCTTCATCCTACAATGTTAACGTCCCCACATGTCCCCTTCCGCGGCCACTGCTGGTTGACATCGACCCTCAGGACGAAACCGAGGAGATGACTTAGTTTCCGTGTAGAAAATATGTAAATATATTGATGCCCACGTGTCGTCCCTCTGGACATGATTTCGCTTAGTCGTGAGGGGAAAGGTTGAGACTAATTTTAACTCAATTTTCATAAACCTTGTTTGCATAGGAGCCATGTAAATTAATTAATTGGGTGGGTGCGTATCGAAATATTGTCTAATCAGCTTGCCAGGGATTTATTTCGGTCGAGTATTGATCTGTTTTGTAGCAACGACCGTCATCATCATTTGGCCGAGTGGAATGCTAATGTTTATGCTAATTTTAGAAAATATGATGATTTCTTGTTTTAAGGAAATCAAAAATAAATTACAATTTTTGATCAGAAGTTAATTTTTATAATTTCTAAAAAAACACGTCATTTTGTATTACAGTTGTTGTAATGAATGTTTCGTTTCTTGCTACATTTCGTGCAGTTCGAGGCAAGAATGGAAAAAAATGCGAGTTGCAAGAAACTGTGATAAACTGTGAGAAATGTGTGTCATCTAGCCACGTGCCGTATTAAGTATTTCTGACGTTTCTCACACCTTGCATTTCTTGCAGGTCAAAATATCTGCAAGAAACTAGCTTCCTATCATTATTTCTTGTATTGCAAGAAATGTGAGGTGCAAGAAACTGGGAGAAAGTGAGAGAAATATGGACCCTCTAGCCTAGCGCCGTATGAAATATTTACCACGGCGGGGCGTCGTTTCTCCCACCCTGCATTTCTCCCAGGTCAAAATATTTCCCTGCAAGAAACCACTTTCTCCTTCCCTTATTTCTTGCACTTGGTGGTCTTACTTTCACCTGAAACACTGGTTTGGTTCTTCTAAAAAGTGAAATAATAATCTCGTCCAACAAAGTTTACTCATTTCTTTTAAACCGCAAAGACAAATTGAATCTTTGCCTAATTTTTAATTGAATTCCATTCCAACATAATTACAGACAAGGGAAAGATAATGAAGTTGGAAACTGTGTAATTTCGAAAAGTTATGGGGATACATAAATTAAGTATAATATATTCTGAAGAAATTAAGATATGTACTATTTCAAAAAGGTTTTTGGTGGGTCTTATCGAGGGGAAAATTATAAAGTTACGGACCCCGCAATATTAACAGTTAGATTAGAAATTACTGTGTCGAAGTCTGCATTAATCGACACAATCTGGATGCACATTGAAATTTGCATATTCTTTTAGTAAAAAAGCTATACAAAAATTTCTTGCAAAATTCTGCCCAAAATTTCTATCCGTTTTACTCTGCAGAATGGTAATTTTGTGCGCAAAAATTAGCCCTTCAATTAGCCAATTTTTCTGCACAAAATCTGGCCAAATTTCGGTACGAAAACCGTACAAATTTTTACTCTGGCTTAACTCTACTTTCCCCAATTCCACCTTTACACCGTTAATCTCCAGCTTTTCTTTAGCCGTTCGTTCTCATTTCGAAGTTTTCTTAACCTCGAAAACTTTGCGGGGTGTAAAGTTTGCAATAATGTTTCCCCGAAAAGTTGTTAAGAACAAGAAGTCAAGTCAATCACACCTCGCCGCACGTATCGTTGTCCTGACCATGCAGAAAACATGTGATCATCGGCCTTGTCCTTCGTTACGTAATTAATGAGGGCGCATTAATTGCAAGGAAATTTTACTTCTCTCGAGTCAAATTATGTTTCTGATGTGGTCGTAATCAGTGGCCGCGGAAGGTGTGGTGGGGACATTAATATTGCAGGAATTGGGGGGCGAGGGACGGGTTAATATAAGATGGGGAAATGATGCGGACATTAAACAACCGTGGGGACAAAAGGACAATGTCCCCTCTGCTTCCGCGGACACTGTGAGGGAGAAAAGTGGACTTCGATGAGGGAGCAGTGGCCGCGGAAGGTGTGGGGACATTTGGGGACGTTAATATTGCAGGATTTTATGGGGAAGGTCGGGTTTATATAAGATGGGGAGATGATGCGGACATCGAATAAGCGTGAGGATATTGTCCCTCTGTCCCCTCAAGCTTCCGCGGCCACTGGTCGTAATGAGGACATGATGTGAAATTTGACAAGGTGTCAAGCCTTTGTTCGAAACGCCCACGCAGGAAATATGTATCTGCTCAGAAACTTATGATTATTCGGATGCGAATTAATTAATCAGTCGGACGGCTGGAGCTTTTCGTCTCGTTGGAAATTGTGCGTTAATTATCAATGTGGCGTCATCATGGTGTTATCCATCATGCAAATGATAAATACCCCACGATCCTGGTGGCAGATTTTGATGGAAACTTACTTGTCAATGGAGGTCGACCAGCGTATGCGATCCGATTTTTGGGCAAACTAGTGTCAATCGATGGCAAATTTGATTAGTATGAAATTTGCGAAGGACACGATCTCCCAATGGGCACGCATGGCCGAGCTATTTGCATCCGAAGAGGAGAAAACTTAAAGACTTAAAGTCGACAAATTGTACACTTTCCAAATTTACTGTACGTTTTTTCCTCTTCGGGTGCAGCTATCTCTGCCAAACGTGCCCATTGGGAGATCGTGTCCTTCGCAAATTGCATACTAATCAAATTCGAATACGAATCGATATTTACACTAGTTTGCTCAAAATCAGAGAGTATACTCTGGGAGAGTTCCATTCCGGGCACCCACACAATCAGGGGAGAAAGTTGTTGTATTTTTAATTCTGCTGATTATGTAACTTAATGATTAATTATTTCTTGCTGTAATCATCATTAATTAGTTCACGGCGAACTGCACCCTCAAGATGTTACTTGGTGATTAATGATTATTCCAATTTGTGCAATACTACATTTTGTCCAAGATAGGTCTGCCTTACCCACCTGTGTACACACCTAAAACACAGGCTGCCTCCAACAAGGCTAGTTTTTACGGTGTTTTTATCCAAATTCATACTTATTTTTTTTACTTAAAATCTCATTTACTTGTTTGACCTCGTCCACATTGTCGACGGAAGCGGGGGGACATTGTGTCCCCAGAAGATCAAAAAAATTATGTTAAGAAGCCTTTCCTATCTCACATTACTAAGGTCCCCCCCCAACTTACGCCGCCACTGCTCGTCCAATTTTACGTACTTATCTGCCACGATATCAGAGTAACGAATTCCACAGTAATCGACACAAGCTCGATGCATATTGTACCCTGCATATTTTTGTTTTGCATACATAATCCTGCCCAAAATAACTATCGGTTTCATTCCGCCGAACCGTATGTGCATAATTTTGAGCCTAGTTTTCTGCACAAGGAGTAAAGGTTCTGCATAAAGGTCGGCAGAAAATTGGCCCAAATTTCGACACGGAAATCATTCAAATTTCTGCTCAGGACACAATTTCAGGAATTTTCTAGCTCGTCTCAACTTTCCCAATGCATGCGAATCAATAATTTGCTCGCCTCGTGTCACCCAACGAATAAGTGTCCCTCCGACCAATCTTTATTCCACGTGGGGTCCCCAAGGGCAGCCAAATTGGCGTGTCGATGGACAAAATTATGTCCACCTACCAGCAGTGGCCGCGGAACAGAGGGACAATGCCCCACGGTTGTTCGATGTCGGCATCATCTCCTCACCTTATACAAACCCGTCCTTTCCCCCAAATCCTACATTGTTAATATCCCCAGGTGTCCTCACACCTTCCGCGGCCACTGTCCACCAATCTTACGTGACCCACCACCACCGCCGATCTCTCAAGTCCTTTTTCAACATGTTTCTTCTCCACTTGTAGATTTATACGCACCCCGAAAAATAATACCTTCACGACGGATCCAATATTTACAAGAGGACGAGCCTCACCTACTTGACGACGACGACGAACAGTGGCCGCGGAAAGCTTATGGACATCGGGGGACATTGTCATTGTAGGATAAGGGGGAAGGGTCGGGTTTATATAAGATGGGGAGATGATGCGGACATCAAAAAATCGTGGGGACACTGTCCCTCTGTCCCCTCACCTTCCTGCGGCCATTGTAAGGGAAAAAAGTCGACTTTATTGAGGGTGCAGTGGCCGCGGAAGCCGTAGTGACATCGGGGGACATTGACATTGTAGGATAGGGGAGAAAGGATGGATTTATATGAGATGGAGAGATGATGCCAATATCGAACAACCTTGGGGACATTGCCCCCCTGTCCCCTCACCCTTCCGCGGCCCCTGACAACGAACAACAACGCGCACGATATTGGAATCTAAGTGGCAACAAAGTGAGTAACTAAGTAAGTGGAGAGGACGAAACTTAGTCGAGTGGAACCCTGCCTGAATTCCGAGGGAGAAAGTAAGTAAAAAAAACATGTTTGTTTTCACTGAGCAGAGAAGAAATCATTCACTTACAGATAAACTATGCTCGAAAAGTCCAAGTACCCTCGAGCAGAAGGAGGCGAGGAGGACGAGAAAAAAGACCAAATTCTGTTTCCCTTCAAGGCGATTCGTCTTCTTGCTGGGTCCGATTCAATTCCATTCCTGGGAGAAATTAAGGTCGTCCTGCTCCTCTTCTTCTCCCCGTGACAGACATTCTTTTCAAGTGGGGAGAAAGTAAATCTTGTCAGTCAAGGCGAGATGGGGTATGTGTGTAGGGGCAGTGGCCGCGGAAGGGGGGGGGGGTGGGACAGAGGGATAATGTCTCCAGGGTCCCTATGTTATATTAAACCCCCCTTTCCCCTATCCTGCAATGCTAATGTACCCTAGATGTCCCCATGTTAGACCCTTGCTTCCCCTATCGTGTAATGTTAATATCCCCAGATGTCCCCATTTTACATAGACTCATTTCCCAATCCTACAATGTTAATGTCCCCATGTTATACAGACTCCTTCCCCTACCCTGTAATATTAATTTCCCAGATGTCCCCATGTTATATATAATACTTCCCCTATCCTACAATGTTAATGTCCCAGATGTCCCCATTTTATTTAGACTCCTTCCCCTAACCTACAATGTTAAGGTCCCAGATGTCCCCCATGTTAAATAGGCCCATCATTCCCTTATCCTGTAATGTCCCTCAGATGTCCCCCAGATGTTCCCAGGGTTATTCGATGTCCCTATCATCTCCCCATCTTATATAAACCCTCTCCCTTCCTCCTATCCTACCATGTTACAATCCCCCAATGTCCCCACAGCTTCCGCGGCCACTGTACCACTAGATATTTTGTCTCTATTATTTCCACACTTTTTACCACTGTGCAGTCTCCCACTCGGAGGGGGAATGATGACGATGATTAGTTTTTTAACTCTCAAAGGATCCCAAGAAAGACACGTACTTACAGCGAAAAAAAGTTGTATGAAATGAAACTTGATTTCCTTTTTGTCCGATGAAGTAAAAATATCAACTTTGTTCTCTTATTAAAGAGAAGATTGGAATTTGAAAAGGGAAAGTTTCCAGTTTCCAATTAAAAAACGTATTGAATTTTTGTGACCAAGTTTTTTTCACTCTGGGTTTTTTATCACTTCGTTTGAATTGAAAAAGAGATGTCGAATTGGCCTTGATTTCAAGTTTTGGTATGATTTGTCACGTATTTCTTTATGCTTTTCACTCACTGGGAGAGATTTTTGGGGTTTTTTGTAGTTGTGAGGGAAATGAGGTGTGGGAAAATATGGGTAATTGATGGATTTAGTATGTGTTAAGTTATTTGGTTACTGGATTTTTTTTCGGTTTTTGTGAGGTAATTCAGATACCGAAAATAAGTAATTACTGGATTTAGTTTAGTTGTTTGGTTGGATTTTTTTCGGTTTTTGTTCCCAATTTATAAGGGAAAATAGAATAATTATTGTAGTGGTACGTATGTATGTACGTTATTTGGCTAGTTTTTTTCGGTTTTTTCCAGTTTTATTCCCCAATTTGTGAGGGAAATGATGATGCAACGTGGCGAATAAATAATATTATTTTCGCCATTATTCTACCAGTGGTTTGTTCTGTTCTGTTCTGTTCAATCTTTTACGTCTGCTGTATATGATATGTGAGCCACATCGTTTCCAATACCAAGACAGGGATAGATACTGACATCAACAACTACAAGGAAAGGTATAGTTAGGGCTGGCATGTCAGGTTTGGTGTGTATTACGTTATTTGTCTAATGGAGAAGAGAGCTAGGGAGTGATGATAAATTGTTTGGTCTCAATATCGAGAGCGGAGTGGAGTGGAGATAAAGTGAGACTTTCACCGAGCGAGAGAAAGTTGACGTTGGCCCGGCTTGAGTTTCGGAGTGGAACTGAACTCGTGTTTTTCGAGAGTGGGGAAAAATGTGGAAATTTGACGACGACCAAAGTAGAATGTATGTAGACTAGTTGGTGGATGGGTTGGTGGGTTGGGGACTCGATCACTTTCACCACACCGCAGGAAAAACTTGGACAGCCCGAGGAACATGGGGACAACCTGTTACATACATATGGGGACCCGATTTTCGGTTTTTTTGGGAGCAAACGGTCAAGAAAATTAATTCTGTATAAAATTGATTTTATAATGGGTTGATTTCGTAGCGGTACGGATAAAGATTTTAAATTAGGGCACCCAAAATCGGTATTTTCGATTCTGTACAACCGGTTTAATACGTGCTTTGCACAGAATCGAAAACGGGTTTAGTACAATTTTGCAAAATCAGAATAAGCGAAACCTGGTTTTCCAAAAAATTGTAAATTTGGAAAAATCAAAAACCAGTATTACCAAAAATTGATAAAGTTGAAATATTCGATAACCAATTTTACTGAAATTTGCCAAAATCCTAATAATCAAAATCCGGTTTTACCAATAAATCCGAATAATCGGTGACCACCAGTTTTTCAAAATTTTCCGATTTTGAATGCCCTAACTTTGTACCCACCCGAACTCCAAACCCAAATCCTCTTATCCTAACAGAAAACCGGTACCTTACCGATCCCGATAATCCCCTCCCTTACGTTTTTCGGGTCGCCTCAACCTCACCGTTTCACTTTCCTCGTCCAACTTGCATTTCATCTCATCTCCATACGACTGGAATCCATTAATATTATTATTATTACTTCATCTCCAGCCCGTCTCGGTTACATCTCGAACTTTGCAAGTATTACTTTCCAATTGGAATAACAGGCTCACCGCCGCTCTTCACTATCTCTCCTTGTGGGCAGAAGTTTGGAACATTTAGCATAATTAAAACCAGTCAGATTGCGGTGAAAATTGGTGAAATTGAGTCCTCCAAAGTTTTCAAACTTGTTAAAATCGAGAGATGTCCATGAGATGTACCGCAAAATCTCGAAACTTTCTCCACCACGCAATTTATTCAGAGTAAATAATAGTGTCCACGGAGAGCAGGGTTTCAGGTAAGTAACCACTTGGGAGAAATATGGGGGAGAAGAAAGTGGTTTTTTGCAGGGGGATATTTTGATCTGGGAGAAATGCAAGGTGGGAGAAAGTACGCCCCGCTGTGGTAAATGGTTCGTACGGCGGGTGGCTAGATGGCGTCCAGATGGCGAATGGTCCATATTTCTTACACTTTCTCCCAGTTTTTTGCACTTTCTTGCACCTCGCATTTCTCCCATTTTTGCTTTCCACTGCAAGAAATGTGACAGAAACCCGCCGGAGAAACGAAACCCTGGCATCCTCCACAATAAGTAATCCACACTGGGCAGTACCTACCTGCCCACACCAATACTTGTTAATTAACACTGTCTGTCTGCACATATGTACCGCCGGAATGACGCTTGCAGTAATTATTATTGAGATCGCTCCTATTTTTAACTCTGACTAACATAAAATAACAGGTATGCACGTACGTACATGGAATTTCCACTGCTCTCACCTGCGTCTCATGTGGTGGTATTTTTTTACTCTGAGGAGAGAAAAATACCCAGACAAACGCGTTCCTTTCAATTATTTGCGGCTGGCTGTTTGCTCTTTGTACACATTGTTAATTGGATGGATAGCGTAAAAATAATAAGGGCAAGCTAATGAAGGAGAGAGAAGCGAATCGGTGAAAATTATTTATTAACAAGGGAACCTTTTCTAAAGATAGACAAGGATTTTGTAGCGAGTTATGTCAAAAAATCGAGTAAAAAATTAAGAATCATATGACATTTATCTATCCGTTGAAGGGCTCCTTTGAAGAAAAATACTGGCAGCAGAGTTCAGTTTTAAGTAAATTTCCTCCATTCTTCCCTAAACCAAGATACTCATGAACTTAGGCCCCCTATATTTTTCCCAAAGTGGCAATTCGACGATAAGATAAGTGTCATGTGGTTCCCAATTTTTGGCTTGATTTTTTTGATATAACTCGTTACACAATCCTGGTGTAGCTTGGAAAAGGTTCCCTTGTAAGTGGCATCATCCGCTTATTGTGATCGTTTTGTCCGTCCGTCAGCAGGATATCTTTAGAATCAAACATTTTCGGATATCAGATAACCATGGGGACTTTCTGTCCCCAGGTTTCCGCGGACACTCCGCGAATATCAACGCCCAATTTCTTTTTAGAAATTTACCAAACTTTCACCCACGACTATGCGTATGCGTGCGTCTGTCTGTCTGTCTGTCCTCCATCTGTCCAGAGCATGTATAAGTTTGAATAAGGTGCAGTCGGGCCGGAAGCTTGGAGCGAACGTATTTCTGACAGGGCACGTAATTTGACAAGATCTAAAATGAAGACCCGTATTCCCTCCTCGAATTAATTGGTGGTCGTCGTCGTGGGCTGACTTTCTAGCTTATCTTTTCTTCATCTCATCCTTGATGCAATCTCCAATTTAATTTAGTTCAGCCATCCATAACAGCCACCCATGCCATGCTTGGGTTGGACATGCTCAACAAGTGAAATCCTCAGTTCGGCAGGAAGAGACAAAATCAAGTCGTACCTCAAACCACGACCACAACCACGACCACTTTCTTTTCCTCGGTAAACATTAATTTACCAAAAAAGACACAGTCCACGCTGCGAGGGGATGAATGATGGGAATATTTCCTGTAATATCCTGTAATATTAATGCGGGTTGGCCTGGGTGCAGTGGCCGCGGAAACTTGAGGGGACAGAGGGGCAATTTCCCCACGGTTATTTGAAGTACCCATCATCTCCCCCTCTTATAAAAACTCGTCCCTCCACTATCCTGCAATGCTAACGTCCTCAGATGTCCGCACGGCTTCCGCGGCCACTGGTTTTCATAATTTCATAAATCTGCGGTTTTCATAAGTGACCGCGGAAGGTTGAGGGGACAGAGGGACAATTGTCCCCACGGTTGTTCGATGTCCGCATCATCTGCCCATCTTATATAAACCCGTCCGTTCCCCCTATCGCACAATGTTGTGTCCCCCGATGTCCCCACAGCTTCCGCGGCCACTGTGGGTGACGTCACGTTCACGTCCTCACTGAATGGATGGATGGATGGATCCTATCTTCACCTATTTTTAATTCTGACCAGGAAAAAAACTTGGCTGGGTTAAAGGTATCATTTTTCGTGTCTCGTAATTGGCTAGACTGGACTGGACGAAATATAGAACGGCAGGTGGTTAGATTTGGGAAATGTCGTCATACTTGCGGGTGAAAGTTCAGGACGTGATAAGTATGATGACAGGAAGAAGAGGAGGAGGTAAAAATATCCCTTATCTAAACAGTTACATGATCAGAGTTGTACTTATCCTTGTGTCCAAGGAATTTATGAATGCCCTTTTTGCCCTAATGTCGTTACCCACACATTGGTCATAATTTCTGTTTTAGCTTCACCCCCATAACGCCACGAGTGTCTAAGAATGCAGGTCTCCCAGCGTATGCTCTACGATTTTGAGCAAATTAGCGTCAATCGGTCGCAAATTTAATTTGTTTCATATTGGCAATTAATACCATCTGCCAATAATCAGGTTTTGGCAGAGATATTTGCATGCAAATAGGAGAAAACGCGCAGTAAATTCGAAGAAAATTGTCGAATTTATGACGAACTTGTTATTTCGCCCCGTTTTGTATTTTGGACACTTTTGGATGTCCAAAACTTAGTGCCTAAATTGGTTAAAACCCGTTTTGGACACTGGTTATAACCGTCGGTTCCCTGCCCAAACTCCCGGTTATTTATTTTAACGCCTTGTCCATCCTACAACTCTACTTGGGACGACACAACTCATTAATTATTGTGGCAATTTTATCCTCCACTTTCACCGAGTGTGTACATACATAGTTCTGTCATCACGGGAAAAATACGAGACAATGATGAATGTAAAAAATAGTAGGGAAATAATCCACGGAGGACGGGGAATGGGACTCCACATTTCATTCTCTTTCTCCTTAATTGCCTGTCAAAGGAGGACCAGCCACTTGTCAGCACCACCTTTAATTTTAGCCCCGACAAACAACAAACAAACGAGACATGCATATTTTATGCACGTTCATGCTCTCTTTACTCGCTCTCTGTTAGGCAAACAAGGGCAAAACAACGATGAACAGTGGCCGCGGAAGGAAGCGTGGGGACAGAGGGACAATGTCCCCACGGTTGGGACCCCACGGTTGTTCGATATCGGCATCATCTTATATAAACCAGTCCCTTCCCCTCTATCCTGCAATATTAACGTCCCCAAATGTCCCCACACCTTCCGCGGCTACTGCTCCCTCAACAAAGTCGACTTTGCTCCCTTACAGTGGCCGCGGAAGGAAGGGTGGGGACAGAGGGACAATGTCCCCACGGTTGTTGGATGTCGGCATCATCTCCCCATCTTATACAAACCCGGCCCCTCCCCTCTATCTTGCAATATTAATGTCCCCCGATGTCCCCACGGCTTCCGCGGCCAATGTTGGTAGAAATGCCATGAAAATTGCATTGACTGATTCGCAGAGAGGGACACATTTCATGTAAATTTATTCATGCATTAACCAAGTACAGCATTACGGTGAAAATTTAAATGGAGTAAATTTTGAAAATTTAAAAATTCAAGGACTAATTCACAGTTTATTTTGATGAACTTATTCTTCATGTAAAATTTCCAAGAAAATTTTACTTTACTTTTTATCCGGGAGATTCCCACGTCAAATAAGTATCTGTACCTTGTCTATCTATCCATTCCACGATTATTAAGCGTCATGTTTGATCAATATTATCTGCAGTTTGGCAAATCTGCCCAGATACAGATTTCTCCAACTTTCTCTCAGTGTCATTCTTGTCCTTTTTACGTCACAATGACGACGCCACATTGTCAATTTTGGTAAAAAGAGCGTCTTAAGACGTAAATAATTAGGAGAAAGCTGTCCAATGGGGAATGCACTAACAAGAGCAAAGATCATCAACCCGGGCAGCGTGTTGGATCGGGTCATTTCCCAGGTTCGGGACAATACATATTTGGGTAATACTTAAAGCGCATTAAATTAATTGATCGTGGTGTATTTTTTTCTAGTCGAATAATGATGATGACTGTCTCCTCTACAAATTGGCTAATTATAAGAAACAGGGGGAATTAATTGAGGCGTATAATATCGGAGGGGCTCACGAAGTCGAGAAGTTGGTGAGGGAACAGTTTGGGATTTTGATGTATCGCGATGGTAAAGGTCAAATCGTATCGAGGACGGAATATCTGAGGTGGAAGTTTAGAAATACGAAGCATGTAAGTGGGGGTTTGGTTGAGTGGGGGGTGGGCTACATTTTTTGGAGTGGGAAGGGAGAAATGGGAGAAATGGGAGGTGCAAGAAACGGGGCGAAAGTGTGAAAAATAAGCGCCATCTAGCCACGCGCCGTATGAAGTATTTACAACGACCATACCTATTCATTTTTTTCCTTCATTCAAAATTCCTTCACTTCGAAATTCAATTTGAATTATTCATTCATTCTTCATTGATTCAATGAATAATTCATTCATTAATTCATTCGCCCCATGTATTTAACATAGGGCAAAAAATGAATGAATAAAAAACATACTCATTCATTTTGAAATGTTGAATTATTCATTCATTCTTCATTCATTCAATGAATTATTCACTCGTTCATTCATTCATTTCAGTATAATTGAATGAATGTGAACAGGTATGACAGCGACGGGGCGTCGTTTCTTGCATTTCTCCCAGGGCAAAATATTCCCCTGCAAGAAACCTCTTTCTCCCCGTTATTTCTTGCAAGTGGTTAACTGAAAACCCACTCGAAATTTACAGAAAGGGTCAAGTTATCATTTATTTTCATTCTGACCTTTGACCTGCAGGTCGTCATCCCGGTCGAACCAACCTCCGTTTTTGACCCTCTTGGAAAGTGGGAGGATCACGAGGCTTGTTGGCAAATGCAGTATCGCGGCTCTCTCGGAGAAACCTTGTTGCACGTTTTGATCATTTGCGATACCCGGCTGCATACCCGATTGGCCCGAATTTTGCTGCGGTGCTACCCGAAACTTGCGGTGGATGTGGTCGAGGGGGAGGAATACTTGGGCGCGTCCGCACTCCATTTGGCCATCGCGTACAATAATAACGAACTCGTCCATCTGCTCGTCGATGCGGGGGCGTTGATCGAGCAGAGAGCGATTGGTACATAAAAGTTGATAAATAATGAGCGTGCTCATCACATCGGCTTATTTCGCAAATCATTTTGCAAAATTTGAGAAGCGCAAAAAAATTATGTTGTGGAGAGATTCGCAAAATATGATTTCGATAATTTCGCAAATTTCTACACAGTTCTGTTATTCGGGTTTAATTTGGTTTCCATTGATTATTGAAACTTTTAACAACGATGATGGGTTTGCGAAATATCTTATTTCGAATTGCAATTCAACTCAAAAAATTTGTGTCTTGAGGAAACTTGTAAAATATGATTTACCAAATTTCGCAAATCCGTACAGAATGTTATACTAGTTTAATTTGGTTTCCACTGATTATTTGCAATTGTTAATGAAGAGGATGAGTTTACGAAATAAAAACCTGCCTAATTGCTGGGTAGATTTGAGGAAAAAATGTGTATCGTTATCCAGCAAAAGTTATGCGAAATCTCAAATCGCAAATGTCGCAAAACTTCACAAACTAAATAAGTTGTCATGCTCAATTGCGAGAGATGTGAAGCTTGACGTGAGTACACTCAAAAAATAAATTGGATAAATATTTACGCATTTTTTTGTAATTTATTAGGAAGCTTTTTCCTCCCCCGCGACCAGCAGAAGATTCCACCCGATAAGTCGTCCGACTTTGAGGGCCTGGCTTATCTCGGGGAGTACCCGTTAGCTTGGGCCGCCTGCATTAACAATGAGACCGTGTACAATCTCCTACTCGATCATGATGCCGATCCGGATAAGCAGGACTCGTTCGGAAACATGATCCTGCACATGGTCGTGGTTACGGATCAATTGGTGAGATATGCAAATGCCTGTTGCAGGGTGTGAGTTTTAAGCCTTTTTCAGAGCAAAAATCATGAAAATTACGTATTGCAGATTAAGTTTGATAGAGCAACTCTTTAAAAATGTTCAGCATTTAGTGCGGCAATTACGCAAATGCCAAAAATTCAGCAGATTTTGGGCGCCCAAAATTAGCGAACACTCTTAAACGCCCTGAATTCTCTGAATTTATCGCATTCTGAGTTGAAAACTAGCCAAAAAAACACGTGATTTTCAGAACTCTTGCACATTTTTTGCAAAAATCTCCCTCGTTTTTGCTACATTTTATTCACGTAATTTTCGCAGGGAATGTACGGCTATGCGCTCCGCCACCCGAAGAAGTCTGCGAGCAATGATATCACAAATGCGCAAGGGTTGAGCCCCCTAACGCTCGCGTGTCGCCTCGGTCGCGCCTCCGTCTTCAGAGAAATGTTGGAGCTGAGCTGTAAAGAATTTTGGAGATATTCGAACATCACGTGCAGCGGATATCCACTCAACGCTCTGGATACCATCTTACCGGATGGGAGGACGAGTAAGGACAAATTGGGGGAATTTTACCCATTTGAAAATTTACACAAATACATGTACACAAATTTTAAGTGAATAAGTTTTCAAAAAATTTGGAGAAACTTTGGGAATAATTGACTAAATTTAGCATTTTCAGACTTTTTTGACACACAAGTTATAACAGAATAAGTTTTCAAAAAAATTTAAACTTACAAAAAATAATCACCGACTTCTCTTCTTCTTGGTGGAAGTTTGTGAAAACTTCATAACTTTTAAAATTTTCAATATTTTCTAATGTTTAATGTTTTCAAGAAATGTCAAACATTCCAAAAACGTATGCAAAATAGGACCGAGCAAGTAGTTAGGACCAAGAAAATGTAAAAATTATCAAAATCCGGCCAAAATTGGATTTTTCATGAATTTTTTAATGCGACCAGTTTAGTGTAGGGAGTATAGTTCCTTTTTTGTGGGTGTGGTTTACATATAGGATAGTTACCCTCCTTCACTTTTTCTACACTTATCAAGTCCCCCAACATATTTGAAGAGCATTAAAATCTGACCTGTAAATATCCTACGCGCTCCACTCCAGTATGGACGAGGCAAATTGAGACAATTGTGCATGAAAAGCCATAACAGTGTATTTAGAGACTACACACACTGCACTGCATCAAAATCTGACTTGTAAAATGAAGAGAAGTGAGTGTCCAATCCACGAGGCAACTGTGTCTACACTCGCACGCACTCCTTCGCTCGCTCTCTAATGATGAACATAATATGTTCTCACGCCTCTCTAGCATTGGAGATGTGTGAATGCGTATTCAGCGACACTGTTCTTCACTTCACTCTGTCTCACCTTGCCTCCCGGATCCTCACTCATTCAAAGGTTGTTGCAAGACCATGCAGATTTTGTTATGCTCTTTTCCACGTGCTCTGTTGGGTCACTTGATAATAAATGTGTATAAAAGTGAAAGCACATTTGTAATCATTTCTCGGCTGTGGGAATTTATTTTAAAATTCTGAACGACAAATTTTCAGAGCAGGTCGGTGCCAACTTTTTTTTTTAGAAATCTACACTCCAGATTTTGACACTTTTTGGCGGAGGTGATCTCAAGTTTAGGAAGCCTTCAGAAAAATTGGAACTCGTCGAAACTCGACGCCATTCCATCAATCAACTCACCGAGGACAAATTTGTCGTTCAGAATTTTAAAATAAATTCCCAGAGGGGAGAAATGATTTTAAAAATGTGCTGATTTAGTCGACAAATAAAATCTCATCCTCATTTCCAGACTGGAATTCCGCCCTCTTCATGATCCTGGCCGGGTCGAAAGAGGAGCATTTGGACATGTTGGACGGTGGAATCATTCAACGTTTACTGGAAGAAAAGTGGAAAACTTTTGCGCAGCGACAATTCCTCAAGAGAATCACGATCGCCTTCATCCACCTGATCGCGATGAGTGTGGCGGTCTATTTGCGCCCCAAGGACCGCGGTCACCCGCTCAACGAATGGATCGACGCGCAGGACTTGGTCAGGATGGGTTTCGAGCTGGGCACGGTGGGTGGTTGTCTCTCCTTCGTTTTGATTCAGCAAGGAGAGGAAATCAAGAATCAGGGGCTTATCAGTTTCGTGAAACAGTTGGTAAGTATATTGGATGCTTATCGGTTTTTGGATGTAGTTACGTGTGGCATTTACATATTTTCAATTATCGTTTTTTTAATTTGATAAGGCAGGAGTAGCAAATTTGGTGTGTTCTTTTATTTCACAACTCGTACAAAGACGTAAAATTCCTAAACATTTTTATAACTTTTCTGAAATATCAATATTTTGTATTATAGAATTTGTAAGTATATCGACTACTATAAAAATGTATAAATTCTTGTAGATTTAAAAAAATTGTCAAAAACTACAGATTTCTGAAATATTTTTCAATATTTCGAAGCCCTTCTTAAATACCAATATTTTGTAAATACTTCAGCTATTGTATAAAAATTATGTAAATATTGCGACTACTCCAAAACAAGCAATTTTGTCAATACTTTGATACAAAAATTTTCGTCACAAAATTTATTTCGAAATATCTTCTCAATATTTTCCAACATTTTGTAAAAATTTCTCCCATTTTTTTTCAAAAATACATAAATTTCTCTGAAAACCTGCTCCATAACAATTTTTTCTTTAGCCCCACGCGCCCCCGAAGGCGCTCTTTCTCATCGCGAACCTCTTGATCCTTTCCTGCATCCCGTTTCGCCTGAGTGGCGACGTTCTGACGGAGGAATCCCTCCTCGCCTTCACCATGGTCTTCTCCTGGTTCTTCATGATGTTCTTCGCCGGGTAATTAATTAATTATTACCCAATTAAATAATTAATTAACAAATATTTGTATGGTGCCAAATGTGTGTGCAGAGCGATCAAGCTGACGGGTCCATTTGTGACGATGGTTTACTCCATGATCACGGGAGACGTGTTGACGTTCTCGATAATTTATGGGATTTTCCTCCTCGCCTTCTCCCAGGCCTTCTTTTTCCTCTACAAAGGACATCCGGACGAGGGGACGACGCCCTTTTTTGAGTTCGACGCGACGTGGATGGCTCTTTATAAGATGACGTTGGGCTCGTATGATGTACGTGGGTCGATTCTATACCTGTTATCAACAGTGGCTGCGGAAGGGTGGGAACAGAGAGGGACAATGTCCCCACGGTTGTTCGATGTCCGCATCATCTGCCCATCGTATTCTATAATGTTAATGTCCCCACATGTCCCCACGACTTCCGCGGCCACTGCTTATTAACGAGCAGAACGAAGTGAACGCGGAGTTATCGTTTTGTCCGCCCGTCTGTGGACAAGATATCTCCAGAACGCCTCAACATAATCAAAAACCGTTCTCGTCAGCGTGTTTCTGATGTTTGGTTCTCGGTGGGGTTCGAAAATGAGGTCGATCCGATCACCCCCCACGGGCGAGGGGGTCTGTCAAGAAATTAATTTTGTAGGGAATTTCACCACCGTCAATATTTTTGACCTCAGACCAACCCACTTCGTTTCCGCGAGTTTACTAAATCTGTTGGGGAGTTTATTTGTGGCGAGTTCATTCAGTTTATTGTTCTTTGCAGTACAACGATCTTGGTGCTCTCGTCTATCCGAATGCGGCCAAGACAGTTTTCATCGTTTTCATGATCATGGTTCCCATCCTGTTGTTGAACAGTAAGCCATGAATTTTTTGGTGTAGGTAAATGATTGAATACTTATTATCTAACGAGTGTAATGTCGCAGTGTTGATCGCCATGATGGGAAATACGTACTCGCAAGTTATCGAGCGAAGTGAGAAGGAGTGGGTGAAACAGGTAAGGTAACATGTCGCGCAAGAATTTGCGAAATATTTCGCAAAAATTTGCGATTGATTGAGACTAGTTTGTTATCAAAATCGGAGAGCATACGTTGGGAGACATCCCTTGAGGGATTTTTAATCACTGCATTAATTTCCAGTGGGCCAAGATTGTCGTCACTCTGGAGCGAGCGATAAGTCAGGAAGATGCGAAACAATATATTCAAGAATATTCCATCAAACTGTCCGGAACCGATGTGTCGAACGAAGTCCGAGGCGTGATGGTGATCAAAAGTAAGAGCAAAACAAGGGCGAAGCAGAGAAAGGGGGCTGTTGCGAATTGGAAGGTAAATTAAGATAGGAAATTAATTTGTAAAATCAGAAATTTAAACTTATTTTTTATTCAACTTTAAAAAACATCAGCGTGTCGGAAAAGTGACCATTACAGCGTTGAAAAGGAGGAAAATGACGGGAGAACAGATGCGTCAGTTGATGTGGGGTCATCGAAACTCGGTCGCAACACCGCAGCAAAACGTGACGTAAGTTTCTAGCATTTGGGAACATATTTTTAAGTCAGGGTTCGGAAATTTTACTGGGTTTTAAAACTAAAAAATATATTAATTATTGCAAACACAAGTCTAATCATGTGCAAATCATCCTTATCCATATATCATTTGAAATAACGAGTAACAACTTTAAAAACCAATAAACTCCAATAAAACCCACCTAACATGGTAAAACCCAATGTGTTTTACTCATTTACAACCCAATTAAACCCATTAAAACACAAATAAAACCCAATGAATATGGTAAAATTCCATGGGTTTAGTTCATTTGTAACCCATAAAACTCTTTTAAACACTAATAAAACCCACTTAAAATGGTAAAACCCAGTGGGTTCTACTCGTCTACAACCCATTAAAATCCCAAACCAATAAAACCCTGCCCTGGATAAGAATACCCTATTTCCAACATATTTTAGTTTACCCACAGACCTCGCCAGTCGATGGAGACTGACATCATATCCAAAGATGCGGCTGCTACCTTCACCCTGTTTGACGACTCCATGTCGCAACTGACGCCACAAACTGAGCTGGATTTCAACAAGGTTTCGAACAAGCCCGGTGGGGGTGGCGGCATGGTTCCGGTCGAAGGTTCGAGCCCCTCCCGACCAGGAACGGGGTCACCCCCGACGAAGTTATTGACCGAAATGGGCGTCAAAGGACCACCGCCGCCGGATTATAGCACGGCCATGATGACCACGACGAGTCCTGGCGCGACTGCTGGGGCTGGGTACAAGGCGCGTCGGCGCTCAGGAAAAATTGGGCTGCGCCCTAAAATTATAATTTTCTCGGATAAAAAAGACCTCATCCGAGTCACGCTGGATTCCGAGGAGGATTCCGAAGAGGATGGAAACATTACGCATTTTAAATATAGTCACAAACATCACGGGGCAGGAAAGTCGGCGAAGAGAAGATCACTCGCAGGGGATGGGATGAATGTGACGTCGTCACGGTATGGAAAAAAAATTGGTGGGATGCAAATCATGTTCATGCCGGATTATTTTTTGATCACGTCAGTTTGAGGGGGAAAGTCTTTAGGGCGGAATCTGCGGAGATGTGCAAATTTTAGAGAGCTCTGGGCGCCGCAAGTTTACGAGAATGTTCGGTTTTCAGGAGGAATCAATGCAAGAAAAGTCTCGAGCTGGTACAGATTCCGGTTGAAAAAGAAGCTTTTTCAATTGAACTTGTGGCGCCCATAAAGCTCTGAATTTTGCACAAGAATTCTCTGAATTTCTCACATCTGCGCAAGGTCGGTACTAAACGATGTTTCTAAAAAGTTTGTCTCTCAAAGTGACCTGGTCAAAAATAATCTGAGTTGAACATGGTTTGCGTCCCCAGTCACTACTTAAAATCCTGATTTTTTATATCTGTAATTCACTCACAGGGAAAGTCTGGCCGCTGAGTCGGACGACTATGAAGGAAAAGATGACCAATATCAAGAACGGAAGAGCAAGCTACCTAATAAATCGGATGATCGCCAAGGCGTCGTAAATCCGGCGTATGTCAAGCACCCTGATGATGAGGAACCACCACCACCACCACGCCCAACACGAGTATCATCTCCCCCGAAACATGTCACACTACCAAAATCGACCCCTGACAAGGAAGAACCTACGACACAGTCGCCTCCAAAGGGCGGAAATAAACCGTCTACGTCAAAAAATCGCCCAAAATCGGCTAAACCAGGTGCAACCAAGGACAAGGAAGGAGGCGGAGGCCATTCTGAGGCCACAGCGACAAGCAGCAAAGGGGGCCATGCAGATGAACAAGGTGGCGATGAAGGTGATCCAGCGACAAAGACGAAGAAAAGTCGTCCACTGACCGCCCTCGATAAGTGGAGTGATAAGGAACAGGTGCAAAATATGAATAAGTTGGTGGCCTGGGATCGTCCAGAGGATGAGATTTAAGGTGGAAATTGTGCCCCTCAAAATGTCTCAACGGTCAATAATGTCCCCAAATCGGTAGCTTCAAGGAATACGAAGAATGGAGGTCTCCCAGCGTATGCTCTCCGATTTTGAGGAAATTGGTCTCAATCGAAGGTAAGTTTAATTAGTATGAAATTTGCGAAAGACACGATCTCCCAATGGGCACGTTTGGTCGAGACATTTGCATCCGAAGAGGAGAAAATGCGCCTTAAAGTCGGCAAATTTTACACTTTCCAAATTCACTGCGCGTTTTCTCCTCTTCGGATGCAAATATCTCTGCCAAACGTACCCATTCGGAGATCGCGTCTTTTGCAAATTTCATAGAAATTAAACTTGTTGTCAATTGACATTAATTTGCTCAAAATCGGAGAGCATACGCTTGAAAACCTCCATTGTTACCAACATGAAAATTGTTCCTCAAAACATAAAATTGAGGCATTATAGCAGTTTACATATTTAATTAGTAAAATTGAGATACATACACATTTCGTCACTGTAGTCGAAAAGAAGTTGAAAATAAATTTAGAATCCCAATTTCAACCTAGATTACGAAATTTATCAGATTTATAGTGCTCAATAAATTGTGTCCGTGCAAAAAAAATCAGTTTTTACTGCATAATTTTGCCACAAGTTGGTAAATCCTTCATCCTGCTTTGCACTAAATGTGCTCAACTCATCTCCCTGAGATGCATTTACATAAATGCGTATGCACATAAGACCACGTGATCGCGTGGTCTTTTGCACGCTTGCAATTTACAATTTATGGGATAAACACAATATTATTTAAATAAATGTTATTTTATTTAATTAATTATAATAATAATAATAATAGCCTTTATTATCCTCATTTACTAGTACTAGGGAATGCACAAAAATGAATTTAGCATAGCACACTAGCCTATTTTCGTGAGCTTACATCCTATTTAAGCCATTACTACTACCGTCAACGACGTCAAGTTATAAATTTAACTAGATGAACAAAACAAAACTAACTCGCTACCTACTGGCGCGACTATGTTGGTTGCATACCAAGACTAGTAATGTTTGTAAAATTTAGATACATATAAGATAATCCAATATTTAACCAATTGACAAATTTTAATTAATAACTTACTTAAATTATAAATTGTGTTGGAAAAATGCACAAAAAACCAACTAAATTTTGAAATACAAACCAATTTTTGATTCCCCAACCAACCGAGGAGTGAGGGACATAGGCCGCGTGGTAATTCAGATTGTAAAAAACACATTAAAATAAAGAATTAATAAACAAATTTTGACTGGAATAGTTGACCAGCTTGATAAAGAACGATTTTCGCACATTGCCAATTAAAATTAATGTTATTACCAATTAAATTTAGTTAAAATTAATATAATATAAATAAATTTAGGAGAGCTCGTGCAAGAGCAAACCCTCCTCGGTTGGCGCGCAGACGGGGAATGAATTAATGTTAATTAATGAGAAATATTTTCCACTTCTTCCTGGCAGCTTCGGTCGATCTGGAGTTGTCCATGATGAATTTTGAAAGTACAATCTGTTTATCCAACCAAGTTTCAATTAATTCCGGGGAAAAGCACTTAAATAAAGACAATTTACTTTTGCGTAGTTTGAAGCCCAAATTGCAATCATTGTTAAAATTTAAGATTTTCGCAGATACAGAAACTTCTCTGTAACTTTTGTAATTTATTATATTTCTGAGTACTGTAAAGAGCAAACCTTTCTACAGCTCAAGGGACATCCAATTCACATTTCCCCTCCAACTACAGAGCCCTACACAGCCCTTAAGGGTCGGTTGGGGAATATGAGATTTTGTCTCAAAGAGAAGTAGATACAATAAAAAATTTCTGCTTTTATGTATTGTTGAGAAAATCGTTACATGTGCATAAGACCACTCTTCGTTAGGTGTGCATAAGACCACGCTTTACTACGTACAAGTTAGTAGCGTTTTTAGTACTAAGCATGGATCACGGTAGTTATTGATTTGACTATTTATTTTTATGAGGAATGATATTACTTCTAAAATTCTACTAAAATGAGGAATAAAATATACTTAATATATACGTGGAATGAAATGAAACATGAAACATGAAACTAAATATTATATCATTCACGATACGTTCTTTATTATAAAGGATCGTTCGAAATGGTTTATGACGCTTTTAGTAAATCAATGTTAATTAAGAACATTTTTGACTTCTTTCAACTCGTCCCTGGCAGCGTCTTTCGATCTGGATTTGTCTGGAGTTATGCATGGGGAATTTTACAAGCACAACCTGTTGGACAACCAAATTTCAAATAATTGTAGGGAAAAGCTGAAATAAAGGCAGTTAAATAATTTACATTGGACGGATGAAGAGGGACTGGGACATCTGTTCCGTTTGCTTTGGTCCTTCGAACACTGTCGATCTGTAATGAAATTAGTTTAGACCTTTAGTGGGCACACGACCACAAAATCGAAGTGGGCACGTGACCACCACGTGTAATTATCGAAATTATATTTTTATAAATCTAAAATACTGACTCACGTAAATTACAAATCGAAGCCGGTACACGTCCGACACTTTACCGATTGTTCCTTTGAAGAACCCTCTGGTTACCTGTTTGCAAAAAAAATGTAGTTAATTTTTATATTTCGTTTTTATTTTTTTATCAAAATTTTATGACCACTTTACTTTGACTTCGTCCCCCTTCTTGATGGGTATGGCTCGGATCCCGTGTCGCAAACGTAGTTCTTTAGAGAGTGGAACCGACATCATTTTTCGCCTAAGATGGGACGGCGCTGCAAAATACCGTTTCCGGCTTTTCCTTCCGGAACTGGAAACCTGATTGTTTCTCTTCATGGTAAATTGGGTTAAACGACGCCTGATTAAGGATTAAGACAATTAGTCTAACTCTTGTTATTAATAGGTATTAATTATTATATTAATTATTAATAGCTGGTCGGAGTCCTACCCCACAAAGTACAAGAGACTATTAATAACTGGACAGAGTTCCACCCTTGGTGAGCCACGTGGATGGATTCGTTTTTTCCGCTTAACAAAGCGATGGTCACTTTCTTCGAGTCATAAAACCACAATTGTTACGTGGGCAGAAGACCACTTGGAGTTCCTAAAGTAAAATTACCTAAGAACAGGAAAGGTTTTGTTCAATTTTGGCAAATTATTGTGTAAATTTTCATGTTTATTTCAGGTAATGAAGGATCTTACCAACTCCTGGCCCTTCGGGCGGCAGTGATAAGTGTGGCCCACGACGAATTGAAACCAATTTGAATCTGGCAGTGGTCGTATGCAGTATCGTAAATCCTTAAAACAATAGCAAATTGGATGATATGAAAAAGCTAAAAGGCTAAATTTCAGCTTTGACTGTATTTCTGTAAAGTTTAGAAGCTTGTGAATTTTGCATGAGGAAAAATCTAAGTTAATCCAGTTAAACTCATCACTTGAAATTTTTCATGCAAATTCGTTCATTTGCTAATAAACTGGTTTTGTTTTAAATTTGTTTTATATGAAAAAGCTCATGTGTACGAACTTCCAATTTTGGAGGTTTCAAATATGTATGAAAAATTATCACTTTTGTAATGAAAATGGCAAACAAAGAATTCTTTAATGCGGCCGGAGGTGTAGAAACCTTTCGTCAGGGGATTCGCTCATGAGGCGTATGGAACTAATTTTTTGTTTGAAACACTAAGATGTGCCCCCTGCTGGGGAGTGTCAAAGTTTACTAATTAGTTAATTATGAACGTCATTACTTCATGATATTAATAAAGATATTCATTGAAACTAAAATTGTGCACGTTTTAAACAACGCTTAATTAATTGGGATGAGAGGATCAATAATTAGCATGTTCATCACGGGTCTGATTGAACTGTGATAACCCCACTTTGATTGAATGTCTTGAACATTCGATAATTTCGAAAAAGTTGAGATTTCTGCTGAATGGATATGATTACAGAAATGTAAAAATCCTAGCAAAATTGAATTTTCTTGCAGCCCATGAAAACATGCCTTTTTCCATGTTTTTCATCCCTTCGAGTGGGTGTGACGGGGGGCAAATGAATTAAATATGCAAAGTACTTGAAGATCTGAGAGAAGGGCCATGAAAAGGGTCTTTTCATGGAAAGGGTGCTTCCTTGCAGGTATTCCATCTTGCCCCAGAATCTCAAACGTCCCACGACCCCAATCTTTCACGGAGGTCACGTGCATTTGGCCCCTCCTCATTTGCATGCTCACCAATCGGAATATGCCAACGAGGCGAGAAGCGTGCTTTTCTCGTCTGCCGGCCTCTACTCCGGTTTTGCTCTCAGATCCCTCTCACTCGTCTTCCTGCCTGCTGCCTCGTGCTTCTCGTGCTCCTCGTGCTGACTTTGATTAATTTTTTCTCTTTGGTTTGGCCAAAGTTTAGTAATTAAAGCAGTTTCGATAGTTTATTCAATTCCAAAGTCACAATTTCTACGTCAAATTTACCAATTTCACGAAAGGTAGAAGAGTCAAAAATAGAAAAAGTTTTGCCTTGTAAAAATTGGGCTAGATCGAACTAAGAAAAGGTAAGCGATGGTTTACTTATTCCTTTTTAACATCATTTATCATTTCAGGACAACTAGTATTACCTATTCTTCAGTAATTAATAATTGATTGTAATTTGTGCTAATTGTTTGTACGTAGAGAACGATGGAGTCGATCATCCATCCAAAAGATGCGTGGGCGGTCGAGGTAATGGACGTCCGTATGGTCGATGTGAAGGCGACGAGGAGAGCCCGGAAGAGGGTCCCAGAATCGGCGGTGTCCTCCTCCAGCCGCGGCGATGACGACGACAAGGATGAAGCAGAGCCCGCCGACCCCAACGTTTATATGGTGGAGGCGATACAAGGGCAGAGAAGGAGGAAAGGCAGACTGGAGTATTTGGTCAAATGGGAGAATTATCCCAAGTGAGTCAAATAACGATATAATCATTCATTTTGAACCAGGTTTATCATCATGAATTAGTTGATATCGTTTTGGTTTATCTTTATAGGGAGGACAACACTTTGGAGCCGGCTACCGGTCTGTTTTGAAAGTAAAAATGATCTCGCTGGAAGATATTTTTAGACTGATGGTGATTTTTATTAAACAACTTGGTTTTAAGGTTTCGACAGTACATAGGAGACATTCATACATATGTAATAATATGTGGTCAGAAGTGACCATACAAACTACGCAGAGTTATGCTCAAATGAAGTGTCCCTTCTAATGAGGCATAAAAACAAAAGGACCCTTTTAATCCCTTGTCCTGGGAAAAAGGTTGGAAAATGCTCAGCCCTCATAAAAGTCGACAAACTTAAAAATTGATAAATATGGAAAACTTTGTTAACATGCATATTTTAACATCCTCCCTCAATTTTTAAAGTTCAATATCGGCAGTTTCCACTGGATTTGCCCTAACCGAAATTACATTTGGCCGGCTTTTCAGAAAAAGGAAAACACAAAGAGTGGCTTGAGCAACTATTATTAGTATGCAAAGGGTTAAGATCCATTCCATTGTTGACCAGGCTGGTTCATTGCTTGTGTGGTAGTGGATTGACCCTCCTTCGTCAGTGGAACCATTGATCATCAGACTGGTCCAGTTGAAACTAGGCTGCAAGTGCCAGTTGGCTTTCATCGTGAATAGTGGGTCGACTACCTCTTGGTGAACAAGGCTGGATTCAGTTCCTGAAAATTCAATATCATTTATTTTAAAATTAGCATTCATTGGAAGGATGAACACGCTAGCAGGGCATTGTTGCAGCTTCCTCTCAATGGTAATATTGGACCCAGGGCAGTAGATATGATATTGTCCATGGTGTAGTTTGATTTGTACAAAATCCCATGGTTCAGCAAGGTTCTTGTCATAACAGTGGTCTATGTCAAAGTGATTGGAGTTCTTTGTTTTCGCTGTTGGCGTGCATCCTCGAGTGGGCGAAACAATTAGGTCGGGGGTTGTAGGCTCCTTATAATTGATGGAGTATACGCAGTCATCTTTCGTAGAAAGGATGGCATTATGGGGTCCCTTGTACTTTAGAACGCAGGTTTCATTCTTCCTTTCAACTTTGAGATCGAAGGAGTCTGCCTCGATGAGTTGCAAATCTTTGTTAATTTCAGTTGCAGTGAAGTCCACATACAGCTTGGTTCTGTCATCTGATATTTCGCACTTTTGAGATTGTGCGAAGCTGACTGGGCAAGCATCACCACAGGGTAACGTGAAATTAAAGAAATCCATTAGTGGTGCGTAAACTTTTCCTCGCCGCCACTGTCTTGTTGCTTCTCTAATTATTTCTCTACCTATCATGAGGCGACTGGTAAGGTAGGCAATTGCGAAATTGGTGTCAATGGATTTTCCCTTGAGTTCGTCGTGATCAAGCTGATGTAGCTGAAGCTGTTCTAGTGTAGCATTTAGGCTAACCTTGAGCTTCTCAATCTCTCTTTCCGATATTTCCACGCGACGTTCCAATTCATCCAGCATCTCTCTTTGTTCCGCTACTGTTCCTTGCAAAGCAGAGATTCTTCCAGTTTGAACAAACGAATTGATTGCTCCACCAACTGATAAGCCGGCTACAAGGACAGTCACACCAATTATTACTCCAACTGCAAGTAATGGGAGGACTCTCTTCACTCTTCGTCCAATCTCTCTGGTATGTCGCGAATTAATATGATCGGAGAATTTTCTTTTAGGGCACATTTTTTCTAGCTCATCCAAGAACATTTCGTCGTATATTTTGTTACATTTCTCGGTTGCATAGGCACTTAAATCCTTATGGAGTAGATCCTGTGTTAAAATTTCGCACGGGTTCATGAATTTGACGAGCAAGTGGACTTGGTTATATCCCGTTGTAACTGGGATTGGACTCTTTTTCCATAGTAAAGGGATCGCATTCTGATGTGTCACCCCACAAGCTTGCGTAATAAACATAAGAAGGATGGTGAGAAGGCTCATCAGTGAGAAGTTGGCTTGGAGGGGACCTCTCTTTACTTTAGTTGGGTTGTCCTTGCTCTCCTTTGTCTCATTTCTTTCCATACTGAGATCGTGTCTCATCTTGAAATGCTGGGTCTTGAAATGCAGTGGCTTAGTTAATCCATCTGCAATTTGTTCACTGGTATGTACATATTCAATTGCCAACTGTCCTGTACTAACTAGCTCTCTTGTGTAGTGGTACCGGACATCGATGTGCTTGGATCTTGAGTGCATCTCTGGATTTTTGACCAATTTTATTGCACTCTGGTTGTCAACATGAATTATTGTTGGGGACTCTTGTGGGAATCCTAATTCTTCTAGAAATCGTCGTAACCAAATGGCTTCACGCGCTCCAGAAGCGAGAGATATATATTCACTTTCCATTGATGACATTGAGACAATGGGTTGCTTTTGGCTTGACCATGAAATAACGCTGTCATTTAGCATGAAGACAAAACCCGTTGTAGATTTTCTATCCATCTTGTGGGAAGCATAATCTGCATCTGTATATCCCCTGAGAATCATATCCTCACACGGTTTGTATTTGATTCCGAGTTCCTCGGTGCCTTTTAAATAGCGGAGGACTTGCTTTGCAGCTTTCCAGTGAGTTTCGTCGTATGCGTGCATAAACTGAGACAGGCGGGACACTGCATATGAGATGTCAGGGCGTGTGCACTTGGCTAGGTAAATTAATGATCCAACGAGCTGTCGATACGGAAGGGTCTCGTTTATTGTTGCGGCTGGGACGAGTTCTCCTGCATGAGGTTGCATCGGCACATTCGTCGGGTTGCACTCCAGCATATTGTACTTTTCAAGCAGGTTACGGATGTAAAAAGGTTGTGACAAAAGTAAACCATCATTTCCATCTCTGATTATTTGCATCCCAACATAGGCTGTGGGCTCCATTATCGTTATTTCAAAGTAGGATTTGATTGCATTGATGATCTTCTGCACGGCATTTTTATCTTTTCCAATGACCAGTGAATCATCCACCCATAAGCTGAGATAAGTGATTATTGCATCAACATCTCCAACAAATATACAGGGATCGCAGTAACATGGGTGCAAGTCGAATTTCTCGAGAAATTCGGTGAATGTTTCATTCCAGGTTCTTCCAGCCTGTTTCAATCCATATAAAGCCTTGATCAGGAGGCACACGATGGAGTCATCTCCATTGTGGAAACCCTCAGGTTGTGACATGTATATGGTCTCCTTTAGAATCCCGTAGAGATAGGCTGTCTGGACATCCAGCTGTGCGATATGCATTTTCTTTGCTGCAGCTATACTTAGTAGAAGTCTTATGGACTCGTACCGAGATACGGCGGAGAATGTCTCAAAATAGTCGACGCCTTCTTTCTGTCTATGCCCTCGTATGACAAGCCGGGCTTTAAATCGATCAATTGTTCCATCCATTTTACGTTTACGCTTGTATACCCATTTACTATCAAGCAATCTTGCATTGGCTGGCCTCTTCACGTATTTCCAAGTCCCATTTTTCTTATGACTTTCAATCTCATCTTGCATTGCCTTTATCCATTCTTCCTTCTCTTTAGACTCAAAGCCTTCTTTATAAGTTGAAGGTTCTTTGTCTGCATAAATGGCATGAGCTTGATATCTATCTGGTTTCTTAATTTTAGCTCTGTCTCTTAAATTGCGAGTGGTTCCTGATTTTTTACTTGTTTCAGGCAAGACAACACGTGTCGTCCCTTGCGATGGAATGCGAGCCGTGTAGTCTCCTTTTTCAGTTTTAACTTGGACTTCTAATTCGTCACCCATTTTCTCGTTGTCAGGTTGTACTGGCTGTGGGTCAACTTGATCAGGCTGTGGGTCCTCGGGATCGTATTTCTCCTCGTCCGTCCATTCTGCATCATCTTGTGCATCATCTTGTGCATCATCTTTTGCATCATCTTTTTCAGATTTGGATTCATCAGGTTCATCTCTTTCTTCTTCGCCATGTATCATTACTGTCGGTTCAAAAGCTTCTTCGTGGAAAGATACATTTCTTGCCTCAACCACTTGTCCGGACTCAGGGTCGTAAAGACGATATTTCTTGCTCTCTGATGCGTACCCACAAAGGATAAGTCGCTCTCCCTTTGCTCCCCAGACCGTCCTTTTCTGGGCTGGTATATGTGCAAATGCTACGCTACCAAAGACTCTCAAATGACGGAGTGAAGGTTTCTTGCCAAATATTGCTTCAAATGCGGTTATATTTGGACTTTGCTTGTCCAGTATTCGGTTGTGGACGTAGACGGTGGTGGCAACGGCTTCAGCCCATAAAGATTCGGGTAATTTAGCTGCCAGCAGAATAGTTCGAGCACAGTCTTTTAAAGTTCTTATTTCACGTTCGGACCTCCCATTCATTTCTGGATTGTAGCTGACGGTTGTTTCATGAATTATTCCCCGGTCTCTGAAGTATGATGCCAAAGTAGAATTACAGAATTCTCCACCATTTTCTGAACGGCATATCTTGACCTTTCTTCCTGTTTGATTTTCCATAAATTCAATGTAGCATTTGATACGATCCTTGGCTTCGTCTTTGCTCTTGAGAAAATATACAGTGCGGAAGCCAGTAGCATCGTCTTTCAAGAGTAAGAAATATTGAGCTCCTCCCAGGGATGCAACAGGCATTTTTCCGGCTAAGTCCATATGGACCATTTCTCCTGGTTTTATCGTTGCATTTCTTGTTGCGGCTGGAAATGGCTTTCGAGATTGCTTCCCAATCTCACAGTCTTCACACATAATTTTATGTGACACGGCCTCCATGTCAATTCCACGAACTGCGTCTTTCTTGATGGAGTCCACCACATAGTTCATATTAATGTGTGTCAAGCGTTGATGCCATAGTTTAGCATTAGTCACGGGATGCATGTATGCAGCAATAATTTGTGAAGTGGGACGAAACTTCATGACATACATATCATTCTTGAACTCGGCAATTGGCCCCTTAAACCGTCCATCCTGATAAAATGTTGCTCCATTCTTGTCACGGACGATGGAGTACCCTTTCTTAGCCATTGATCCCTCAGAAAAAAGGTTGACAGCCCCTTGTATGTACAACACGTTATCTATGGTACATTCCTCCCATATGCCGTTGATGTAAGCGTCAAGTGTCACTGTCCCTTTTCCTAGTGCTTGTGTAGCCCTTTTGTCCGTTAGGAAGACTGACTT